GAAGACGAGGTCATCGCAGACTTGGGTTTACTCTGCTTGCCGGGTGAAAACCGCAAACATAAAAACGAGTGTATAACACTGTGATTCGGACGACGATGTGCTTTGGGTACCAACACATCATCAGTCAGATTCCGCCTGGCTACTGTTTCACGTCCAAAGAGGGTGTGGAGAACGCGGATATGTCACTCGACTGTTATAAGGTTTCCATATCTTTGACCTATACAGGTACGCGATAGATTGTTACACAGCTCTCTGGCGGTGTGCCAGAAAAACAGAACAAGAATGAAAAAAACCAATCGTGTAAACGCTAATGTCAGACACACGAGCAGACAGAATGACCAGGAAAAATATTGCAAAAGTTTGTCCCCAATCGCTGAAACGCCTAACCCCCTTTGCGGGTTGAGAACCACTGGTTCAGATCAAAGAACTAACTGCAGTAATGGAAACGCTCGACGTCGGATAAACAATCGACAGTCACACAGCGATGCCAATGTTGCGTGCAGCCACGGTGTCGTTTTGGACGGGGGGGGGGCAACAGTCAACTGATCGAAAACAGCATAGTGTGGTTTGGTGCTTAGACTGCTGGTCTTTTGTCCAAACAACGAGACAAATGTTAAGCAAAGATCAATTGTCGGAAGCTGTGAAAGTCTACACGGCATTCGTTTCCATTCACAAGAAAACCGATAAGAATGTGTGTGTGTGTGGACGTTGTTACAGTGGGGATTCTCTGTACATTAACAAACCAAGGACACTAGAGGCCGTGAAAAGGCTACACCAGCTGAGTCGGAGCTTCGAACATCGATTCGATTTCCAGCAATCCACCGCGACTTGTTTCACCGACTTCCAAGCAGCTTTCGGTCCAGTACAGAGAGACATCTCTGTACGACAAAGCTGAGGTAGGGTTCTGGTGCGAGGCAGGGGTGCTAGCTGGTACTAATGGTTTTCCAATGCGTAATCTATTAAACAGTAAGATATATTTCGACATACTACTCAAGTGTTCTACCCATGTGCTACCATCGGGGTCAGAGATCTCGCCTATGCCGATGACGTTGTCCCACTGAGAAAAAAAGCGGTGGAGCTAGAAGTGACCGTCGGTCCCTTCACTTAGTAAGCGGCGCCTAGTTGGCTGGAATTGAATTCCTATACCAGCATCCTTCAGCAGTAGGGAGGCGATCTCTTCTAAAAACTGGTTTCCGTTTGTCTGCCGAATAAACAAATGGAAGGAGCGAGTGCGGCTTGTAAAGAGAGAAGGCTGCATACTGCTGAATAACGCCTTATGAAGATCCAAAATCGGCCTCATAGTGGGCTGTCGAGTGTACCCTGATGTAATGCAGTCTGTATTGTATACCTGTGAAACTTGGTCTCTCCGAAAGGTCGATCGTCTTTGAGTGGAAACGTTCGACCTCTGGATAGAAAACTGCTTCAAAACGAGAGATTTGACTGGGTTTCAGATGAGTCTCCTGTCAAAACCAAGCTGGTATGCAAATGAATGGTCAGTGCCGGAATTTTTCGATCAAAATGTGCAAACTATTGAACCAGCGTCAGAGAATTTAAGGCGGAGAATAAAAGGATTGAAAGGAACCGAGGTTTTCGCCGCCTACAGTCTTCGGTTATGTTTCGCTGGTAAGGTAATGGGACCAAAATGTAGTATGTGATCGGTGGCAGAAAAATCCTTGAGCCGTGGCACTCTTTCGGTGCCTAGCTGCCGTGCCATCCAAAGGAAGCACGAGGGCTGGGATATTGCCAGGTTGCCCAAGCCTAGACAAGGGAAGTCGAGAGGCAGAGGTCGGGTTCGAACCACGGACCTTCGGTCAGCGAATTCACGCACTAACCACTTGGTCCATCTCGCACCTGCGATCCGCCTGTTGTAATCAGTCTCGTTCAATCCGGTGATGGGTGACTGGATTCGTAGAGTGCCACGACGTTCGACTGGTGCTGTATGCATGCTCTCCAGTCAAGCTAACAGTCGCACAGTACAGTTGTTCATAATATCTAGAATGAAAGCGTTACTACACAGCTTCAAGAAGGTCCCTGTGACAGTAGCACCCATGGAATATGAGTAGACAAACATTTCTGGGTCCTAATTTACGTGCTAGGTTTGATGGTAATTGTGTCACAAAACCGTACGGTTTACTTTTTTGTACCACCAGAGGAGTAATTCTTTACGTGCAAAGAACAGGTGAGGCATAAGTGACCAGAATCCTTCGTTTGTGCCTTTGAGAGTATCCGTACCGAATTCAAGTAGTTTGAATGCTATTTAAATCATATTGACTAGTGTAGTAGCTAAGAAAAGGCAATCAGCTCAGGTGGCCTTCAGCGTTCACGAACTAGCCAGTCAGAAAGACACAAGCATACGTAATAATTCGTGTCAACATTGGAACAGTCAGCATTCTACGAGCTATCCCAATTAGTCCAGTTCGTGTCTGGACGCGTAGGCTGTTTGAGCCTGAGAGAGTTAGATCTGCATGTTTCTGTTGTCTACCGCTGATCGACCCTGTCAGCACACCAGTCAGCTGTTGGGCTTCGATTCGATTGATGTCCTTTAGCAGCTCATCCTTTACCTATTTTCTGTCAAGGGATTGTTAATCTCTAATAATCATAATTGTGCTCGTTTCAACAAGGTCGGTTGACTTGTTTTCAAAGAGCGGACTAGAAATTCCATCAAAATAGCTGTTGCAGAATCATGCATTCCGGAACAGGTTCACTATCGAAATCACGGACTGGGCTACAGACTGGCCTATTAAGCAATCTGACTGTTCTGCATAAAAAGTGTGCGGTAAACATCTCAGATTTCCTGGAATATCCCGTATTCGAAGCTGATTGGCGACAGACTCTATTGGTAAATAGAAGATTTTGTGCAATTGTAAGTCTCGCTACTCGTGAGTAGTCAGATGTTTATCTGAATTGTCCAGCGCAAAGGCTGTCAAATAAGCCAGTCACGAGCTCGGAATGCCTAAGGTTCGATTGGAACTGTAAAGCTTCGTCAAGCACTCGTACAACATGCTATCATATTGTAAACAAAACACATTTCCGACTAACAGAAGTAGAGCAACGCTAACGAATGTCTTTTAACGATTTGCGAAACCCCCTATCCCTTCAAACTGAAAAAATGTCCATAATTGTCTACCAACTAACCGGCAGACTAGGTAGATCTCACACGGCGCTCGTGTAACACAGCCAAAAGGTATTCTAGTCCACTACAACACACTGCATCTGCAAGATATGGCGGTGTTCTTTCTGTCCGAATCGCCTGAATGGGTTGCTGGAGAACGACTGTAGAAGGCTAGCACTAAGTCCCTTTCCCACTCACTCCAATTCTTTTTTCAAATACATTATAGCCGTAAGCCAGTGAGGCATCAGTGTTGTAAATTGATGTAATGCTGTCGACTGAGCTTCGAAACTCGGAAAACGTGAGTGCTATTCTGGCACTTCAGCGAATTTCGTAAACGATAGTCACTCAACAAGCACGCCTACGCAGGTGAAAAATAGACCCCACATCACGTACGGACATTTTTCCAGCGATAATGCGGTAGAACTCTAATGGAGTAGAGGACCTAGCCACGGGATTTTTGGCTAGACAATGTTGATAAATAGAAAAGATGCATCAGATGGTCACGTAACGATACTCGGGGTAGATCCGCATACACTGATTGATAGAGGCGGTAATACGATAAAGAATAATCAACGAAAGAACCGGGCTCTGAAAATTGCCCGTCACTCCAAGTTTGGAAAAAAGGGTCAACAAGACTAAATTTAAAGAAAAATGCCAAACAACGCTAAGTAATTTTCTCGCGTTGCTCTTCTCGGATAACAGCAAAGTGATCGATCCTGAACACCGTATGCATGATATGTTACCCAGCGTTCTGTTATGACCGTATCGAATAGCACACAAGACATTTGGCTGATCACCTAGCCACCTCATCGGAGCTTCTTACGTTGAAGCTGAGAAACTGCTCCTGCGCGGAAGCCTACGCAGCCTCAACGAGCCCCCCTTGGTAGCTAATCCCATTATCAAGTCAGCAGCAGACATTGAGACCGCAACAATAGTGAGCAGCAGAGTTACCCGGAATTTAGTGGTCATAAGCATAGAGGAACAGACACCCAACTCCACTCGAGAGTACTCATACGAAAACACCTGACCTACACATATTCCTACGGTCGACATTCCAATTCATTAACGGACAAACGAACTTAATTTCATAAAGGCAACACCATGTATATTTGGTACATATACCGGTTATTCAATACAAGAAGTTAACGATAATTTGAGCAATATTACATCTGGCAGGAAAAAAACCGTACTTTCATGTAGTGTGAGTCCGGAAGGCATCTTCATCCGGAGAAGTGTTAAACCTCCGTGATGGACAGGAATAGGAACAATCTGTCCTGGATGTGGGGGCTTGGGAACTGAGGAACCGCCGTAGCATAAGCGGACTGGACGGGGGAAGACTAGGGGAACGGGTCACATGCTCTGGAGACTCGGGATCTAAATTGAACTGGTCGAACCTGGAAAGCCAATCAGGGGAAAGTTCAGGTTGCTCAGGGCGGTACGGTGATGGAAAATAGGAAGAATCCATACGTCCCAATGAATGGGCAGGTGGCTGAGAATAAAATCCGCTGGAGGCTGTTGATGCTCCTAACCGACTGTCCGACAAAAAGTCTTTTTGCTTGTAGTCATCATTTGCGAAGTATCTGATAAAGGATTTGTTCTCATCACGAAAGGTTATGCCCGGGCTGTCCAGCAGCTTAGAAATGCAGGAATTCGAGCCATCCGAATACGCGCTTTCGTTGTCGTTCGAGTTTCCTGCAGGATGTCGTCTGCGCCTTCCTGGCGGTGGCCAGTTCGCCTCATCTTCTGAGGAGGAAGCGTCGCTCCACCGCGTAGTGAACATGCTGAGGTAAGGCAACCGCGTCAACCAGACTGCGTGCCACCCGAGGTGCCGCCACTTATATGTACCGCGCGCGCGTAGATTGGACAATTAGGCGAACCACTCTGACGCCGACACACCCACAAGCGCGCGCACACACGCTACTGCCTGTTCTGTCACGATTGGTGTACCGCCAGTCGACCAAACGTCGTCGACCAGACTACTGGCTGTCTGTAGGTCAGCGTCACGTGCTTTCAGCGCTCTCTAATCTGTATGGCTGGTAAGCCTCTCTAACCTTGACGGCGATTGGGTGAATTGGGCCAGACACAAGAAGCGTCAGTCTATCCGGCCAGGTCATCGAATCTGCGTGACGCGGCAGCAGCAGCCAGCTGGAGTCGTCACCTGTGCTCACCGACCAGCAGTCGCGTTTTTCGGTGTTCTAACGGACGGTTATTGTTGTGGGAAAACAGCATTAAATGATACCACAAATAAAATGAACCAATTAGTACACTGGAATACCGTTTACCACTAGTCACCGGCTATTAACTGGAACGAATTAACCCTTCAAATCATTGGAAGAGTCATGCAAAATTCTGAAGTCGTTTTGTTGTCTCCCGATTATTTTTTTCCGAATTCCCCTGCATTCCCCTGGGGTCGCACATACGAGCAGGTTGGTCAATTGAGTCTGCTGAAACGACTCAGGCGCTCGAACAACCTCACCATAAACCTTAGTTCACAGGCGCTTCCGCACACGGCCATCTATGCCGGTTTCTGAGTTAACCGCACCTAACTGACTTCATATCTTGGCAACAAATAGGAATGAGACAGCTATTAACGAGGGACTCAGTCGATCTCATTGAGTGGAGTCTGGCGCCGTTGCCAACTTTGTATTCCAACGAAGATTTGTCTCCGCACACGGTTACGTTATGATGCATCCTCCCAATGGGTGAAGTGAAGATCTCAAGAAATGGAAATTCTGTTCCGTGCAACTTCAAGTTGTATCATCTGTCTCCTTGCAAAGGGCTCTCTAGCTTTGGGAGGTTCTTCTGGGAGAAGGTACCGCCATGGCGGGATGACCATATTTGTCTCAACTGGGTTTGTACGTGTGTTGCACACCGCAACTGCTACTTAAAGAATAAATCGTTCACTCCCTCTCTACACTGAAACCAGGTCACCTGTAAACCTGTTTATGAAAACTTGAAATCCTAATGTATTCTGTCCGAATCTTTCTAGCGACGTAACGTAGGGAAGACATATCTTCGATGCATAATTGCTTTCGGCGGTTATCGCATCCAGTTTGTCACTCCAGCGAACTGCGCCCCTCGATTAATGAGCAAAACTGCAAACCTCTAAGAGAGCATGAACAAAGCTTGTCAACTTTGGTCCAACTACCAGCACCACTCTGATGAGGGTCTAAGGTTACCAAATTTGGCCTAGTTTTACTAGTCAACGCCAAGGACACTTCAAACGATTGTGAGCTCACTCGATCGATGATGACTTAGTTCTAGGTTTGGTGATCCATCTAGATGGCGTGGGTCCTCGGAAGAGCAAATCATGAGAAACAACATGTTCCTTACCCACAAAGGTCCTGATCCCGCATAACCGGAGGAGAGTTATGGGGTGCTGTTCGACGAAATGAGGGACTGTATTCCACCANTACCCACAAAGTCCTGATCCCGCATAACCGGAGGAGAGTTATGGGGTGCTGTTCGACGAAATTAGGGACTGTATTCCACCAACCTTAGAGCACCGAACCTTGCTGAATTCGCGCAACTCCACATTCAGTTTCCTCAAGTAGAATGTGTGCGTGTCGAATAGCGTACGCTGGGACACACTGGTAAATGTGCTTGTTCTTCGAAAGCTTCCTGCCAAATATCATGGCGCCATGCAACTTTATCGCAGGTTAATTCCCGGCAGAATAACTCCATCTTTATCTATTGGTTGTCAAAAATAGGTCCCATGTTTGAGAAAGATTATTCTGATTGTCTAAACCTGGAAAGATTCCAACGTGCTGACTACTCAGGTGAGTTTCATCCTGTTTGAAGCCCCTACCCTGTACTTTACTGATGTCCATGACCGTGGGGTAGAAGGCAGACAATCCTCCTGTTGCTGGACAACATTTGATTACAAAATGACAACTTTGGTTCACCATGGAAATCCTGCATACAACCAGACAGTGAAGGAGAACGGCACAGTGTTCGCTTCCGCCAAACATCAGTTTCACGAGCAACCGGACATTTAGAGATTCATTTATCAAGTGCGATTGACAAAAGGAATAGCAATAGATTCTGTAAAAAGTAGCGAACCTGATCTACCGTAGATTCAGCTGTCACAAAACAACTGATATGCTCACTCCCCCTCCAAACGGGACCTCCAATCCGCCACCTTGACCCGGCGCCGTGGGTGATCCGTAGCGAAGCGGGGGAGGGGAGATTGCTGTGCTTGGTTTGTACCAAGTATGCAACAGAAATCGATCGCCGCATCATTCGGAATGCCGATAAAGACTGCTGGGTTCAGCGAAGTTTGCGGAAATTCTCCACCAATTTAACTCATGCAAATCTTGCAAGCGTAACCTTTATATGCTCGAATCACAAGACATATTAATTACCTGATCTGGTATATGAAATACGAGGCTGAGGTATTTTGGGGGCGATCTGGTGCACTCGTTCTCTCTTCCTTTGTGAATGTCTCAATTTTTGGAGTGCAATGCCTGAATGAGTGTTTGGAATGACTGTAGTAAACCAGCACCAATTCCCTTCCCCGTCCACCTTTGTTCTTTTCTTCACAATAAGGCTTTCAGTTACATCATGGTTATACGGTAGCGAAGCATCGGTGTTGAACACTGATGTCATGCTGTCGATGATGATGGCGATGATGATGATGATGATGATGATGATGATGATGATGATGATGATGACTGAAAATCACCGAACAATCGGAGCAGGCGATTTACATACTTCAGAATTCTTCTCTGCTGGCACTTTTAACTGAATCTAAGCGCACTCGAAGCTGTTACACCTCATAGTAAGTATTCCCACAGAATATACGGCAAAGCTCCGATCCCCGATAAGCCTGGTCTCTAGTTTTCAGGTCAAACCGAGTAACGAGCAACATAGACCATTCCAGTGACCGGATCTGGCATGCAGTCTGAAACCACAGAAACGTATCCACTGTAATGTGATCATTCAGCTAGTCCCCAGTGCCACGTTCTCTCCACCTCTTAGGTAGGTTGGTGGGGCAGACCAAACACCGTGCCAATTAGGTCACGTGAACTCGCCTGGAAGTGATGCTGAGCAGAAAGTAGTGCACTGATACGCAAAACTGGCATCAAGTGAATGAAGACTTAAAACGATATTTCATCGGACGGATAATTTACTGGACGCGAAATCATTAGTTGGAATTGTGAGGGAAGGTCATCATCGATCACTTGTTATCGTAAGGAAGAGGTCCGCGCACAAACAGGAAACGGAGTAAACAATCCATGCATAAAGGTTGGTTTGGGCGATCACATCAATAGTGGTCCCATTTCATCCAATCATATGTTTGTTCCCAATAGTAAAATGCCTGGCATTTCTCCGTATTTAGATGGATTCGGTTGGTTCACTGTGATCTAGCTTCCCAAAAGGGAAGAAGTCTATGGTAGACACTATTTCAAGCGTCTTTTTTGGAAAGACGAACGAATTGGAATGTGTGTGATCGTCCTGAAGGCAAAAAATCGATGAAAGTGGATGACAGATTGGATGTGCCCAATCTTGGTCAGACTTCCGATTATCTGACGACCACTCGATGTGTACTACAGTCCGCGTTGGTCGATACGGCATGTCCTGATGTCATGACGGCCTGTCGTATTAGGTTCAGCACAGCGGGACCTAAAACATGGAGTGAAACGTTCACCTCACTTTGGCATGCTGACCAAGCTGGACAGGTGATTTGATGGTGTACTGTTCCTAATGGTGAGTAGATGCTTTCTCCTCCTGTTGTAGAGCTTAACTGGAAGACGACTTCGTCCAGAAGACTACATCTCCTGGGGTCATCCACCATTAGGAGCAGAGGCCTAAATCATTCTAGTTGGGATTGTGTTCCATTATCCACTGTGTTCGAATGCTTATAGTACAAGGCTTCGTTGTGTTGGTAAAATTATGCACTTAGCGGCGCTTGACGCTACACTACCTTTCCTCAGTAAGGAAAGAAGGGTCTTGCCGTGTCTTTCTCGCTTCTGTCCATCAGCGGCCCATTGGTACTGATTTCTAGTACAGTAAGAAAATGTGTTTTGAACCAGAAGCGCTCTATTTCTTTGGATATGGTAGTTCGTCTGCAGTTACACACCATTTAGACCAACCAACCTTGCGCAGTGTAGCGCAAAACGAGCTCGATTCAAATATCGCGGAGTGCACTCAGTTACCTGATTTAAACAACCATGAAAGATCTAGAAATAAGGGAACTACTCACAAGGTTGCTGAAAACTTTTCGACAGCCCACGACCGGTTTCGCCTAACTGATGAGCCCCAAGAAGTGGGCTGGGATCTGTGAAAGTGAAGCGTGCAAATCTCTTTGTCCTCGGTGTCCGTGAACACAGTCACTGTAGCACGGAAAGCTTCTCTTGGGATTGGGTGAATGAGAAACCCAGCCGAGTCAACGTTTGTTTTACTGAGCTGAATAATGTTAGTTTGTTTGTACTATCATGAGACCAAAGCCCAATCAGATGGTTTTGTACTATCATAGGTATATAATGACTGAGGCATACCGAATGTAACATTCTTTTATATCTGACAGAAGTGACATACATATATATCACCAGGGCTCTTGAAAGGGACTCTTTTTGAGTAACCGATTCGAGCAACTCCAGTGCAGCTCCTGAGCACGACGAAAAGGTATGTGAGAAGATCAAATAGACCGATAGCCGCCTCTTGATTTGACTGATTGAGGTGGAATGTAATGCGTGCTCAGAATAACACGCGGTAATTGAGCGTTCATCACAATATAGTACGCAAGTTTGGTGGGAACTCGGGGACTGCGCCTACCTGATGAACCCCAAGGATGGCAAAACCGATGATGGGCTGTGTAGATTTTTCACCAGGCTTACAAGTAGCAGTGAAGCACGTGATACTGTGACATCGTAGATGTCACACACAACCCAAGTGGCGTCTATCAAGAAGTTCGCCGTAATGCTATGACGTCTAATTCATGTTGGAACTGCCAGCCAAAATAGATTACGAATAGCCTTCAAGGTCACAACAAACGCACTTGGACGTGTGTACGTGTCGCCATCAGCGCCAGACACCGCATTTTCCAAAACTAGAAAGCTACCGATTTTTTTCTCCTGTCTACTACAGAACATGGAAATTTCCTTTCTGAATTCTGTTCACTCGCTGTTGCATGTTTTGACATTTGTTTGTCTGAGGTAGACATGAGTACGAAGCAGTGTGTTTGACTCCTGATGATCGAAGGAAACGCTGAATAAGAGAGTGACTGGATACATTACAAACGAGAGATTCAGCTGGTCAGTTCTAGGTGAGTCTCTCGCAAAAACCAAATTAGTTTGCGAATGAGTGTATATTTGCTAATTTCGTGCAATTTGGTTGCAAGTAGAACATAACATGGACGGAAACTCGGGGACTGCGCCTAACTGATGAGCCCAAAGTGGAAGGGCGAAACCGGTCGTGGGCTGTCGACGAATTTTCAGCGACCTTATGAGTAGCGTGCATTATGAATATACATGTCTCGCGATATCTCGAATATCGTAGGGAATGATAAATGAAGCTGCCTGGCGCAGCATATTCACTTGCCCGCAAGCGTCACAACCGAGAGATTCAGTTGGGTTCCAGGTGGGTCTCTCGCAAAATCAAATTTGCTTGCAAATGAGTGTATTTCGTTAATTTCGTGCAATTTGGTTTCAAGTAGAACATGAGGTTGAATCATTGAAAGTTGGAGGCTGATTATTGTGTTACAATTCGCTACCAGCATCAAAAAACAGTGTGGCCTTCTCCGCACTTTTGAACAGGCCACCTGAGGATAATTGAAACGTGGTTCCCGACCTTTATCGCGCGTTTTATTCCCGGTGCCAGTCAGATGCTTTTGTCATACGTCAAAAGTTAAAAATGGTGTTGATGCACAAGGACACTGTTACTCATGTCTTGACAGTGGTGTATGTTCCGTAGTGTGGTTGTGGGCTGAATAAAAACTTATGCGTGCGGTATGACTACTCATTACTACTGTTCATCTGTGTCACCCCTCTGATGCTAGGCTGCCATGTAACTTCAAGGAGATATTGCTTGATTCTAGGCAGGAGAAATGGAGAAACCGCGAAAATTCCGATTACTCGTTTCACACTGAATCGTCGTCAGCTCAATTCCTCACTAAGGGGCCGATCGATAACGTAAGTCTCATGCTCTGTGGATTTCTTTGCTAGTCCCCATCCAATTGCGACTGGACTTTCAATAGAGCCGAAGGAAACCTTTCGGAATCGGATAAGTAACAGTGTATATAGCCTCTCTGAGTTGGCAGAGGAGTATGAAGAAGATCACGAAACGCTTGGGTGCCGTCGGTGCTACTTGTCTTCCAGAATGGGGACCGCGTGATCCTAACTGTGTCTGGTTAGGAACACTACAAGATATGGCTGCCAACCGATGTCAGTGGCGTTCTTGTTGTCAGTTTGATGATGATGATGATTGGGATGATGATGATTCGGATGGTGATGATGACGATGATTGGGATGATGATGATGATGATGATGATGATGATGATGATGATGATGATGATGATGATGATGATGATGATGATGATTGGGATGATGATGATGATGATGATGATGATGATGATGATGTTGATGATGGTACAGCCTCCTCCAAATGGAATAACTCGTGTTATTTTACTGAAAGGGTGGAAAACCTCATGATTGATTGGCTGATGACAAAAAATGTTTACGCTGACCAGTGCCTAATTAGCCAAATGTCTATTGCGGCACGGAACGGCATGTGAGCTGCTATGAAGACTTTGTTGATGTTTCGTTTCTTCCGTCTGGCACTAACTCCTCGAACTAAGCCGATCGGAGCCCGGTTTACCAGAGAGTTGTTTCAATCAGCGGAAATAAGTCATTATCGTGGGATAGATAAAAGACGTGTGGAGCCATCCCAACTGACTGGGATGCTTCCCGAATCGGGGTATCATTTCCTTTAACCGATGACATCTGAGTGAACTGGAGATTTTGGTCTTCTGGAAGAGTGCATCAAATCCGACGATGGCATTTTTAGCTAGCTGACCACCTAACTGGTGGATGATTGGAACTGTTGATCTTGTCACATACTGAAGAATGTATGGTGATAATCTTGCGCTGGTCTATTTTACAGGTCACTTTCAAAGTTAACAAACTTCCAGTGGACGCCACGCCAGCAATGTGAACATCATCATAGGGGATTTCGATCTCAACAGGTTGAAATTCATGTATATTTTCCTATAAAAACTAAAATTTCCGGTACTGTGTTGAGGAACGTTGTCTCCCTGCATGCCCAGTTTTGACAATCGTGGATCACAGCATTTTTTTCTGGCGCAAAAGCGAACTATCAACATCATCATCCAGTACTCTTCAGGAATCTCATTCAACGTAGACTAATCTTAACCTTGGAAGTCACACGAGGGATACTACTACTAAGCCGTCAAACAGAGAATAGACGAATCACTGTGAACTCAAATATACATATGCGAGATGGGGCAGAGTCCGAAGTAGCTCATTTTGTGGCGACAAGTAGGTGTCCAATCCAAGGACTCTGTCACTTCGTTTTCATTGCGTGCTTATGTCTCGACTTTTCAAGTTCCAGTCTCTTCTACATCGATTTTTCGCTGAATATGAAACAGCTCCGGTGAGGAAGTCATTCCTCAACCGAGTATGCTGCACAAAGGTCGCCTTGGTTGACGAAACAAGGTTACTGAAAACTCTTCAATGACTCATGATAAGTTTTTTGTCGCTCTTGGATAGACGTACATTGTGCTGTGCGGTCAGGTGAACCTCAACTTTTGCGCAGATGGCGGAGAGAACAGCAAGCAACTCTAGAAGGGACAGAATTCGCGAAGCATCTCGGCCTGAACAGAGTATGAGATCTAGTGTGTGTGTGTGTGGATCACACCAGGTAACACTAGTAGTGAGTAATCTTCAAGCAAGACGCGTAATTCATAGGAGTGATTTAGATCTATTGTAGAAATCCAAACCTGAAAATTTCACGCAATCCCTTCTTTCATTCAGGAAGAGTCTCCCATCCAAATGATGTGAGCAAGACCCAACACCCGATCCCAGTTCGTCTAAGGTATCACCCCCTTCTTCATCCACCCAAAAGGATCAAAATGCAAGAAGCATCCCCACCGGTATCTCATGCAGATTAAGGTTGCTTTCAGTAGGATATCTCATTTATTCTACCCTCGTTCTCATGTAACCTAGTTACTTGAACTAACACAACATTTGTGGCAAAGGCGAAACATTAAAAGGGATTGACTTTCAAACTTGTAAAAAAACCAAACAGTTTTCTCAAAAGTGCTTTAACAACAAAATTTCTGGGGTGCAAATGCATGCTTTTGTAGAAGAGATGTTTCAGAAGAACCAACGTTGCACTGCTGGTTGACTATCCCATAACTTATCGATCGCCCATAATCTGCTCTGCTTTCACCGTTTAATGGGTACACGTGCACTCAGGCTCAGCTGATTGTACCGGTGAACGAACCACACCCTGTGAATATGGTAGTGGTTTGGTAGAACAAGATGGCGCAGACAGGATGAGTAGACGTACTGTGAGTGACCGGCTGACCGATGACAGCTTGTGGATCGCGGTCGACAACACGCTACAAGGACGTACTGTGTGCGAGGAAACGATGAATCGCCGACTGGTGGGGCTGGATTAATCGATCACTGTTTTAGTGGTTGAGTTCTGCTTGACGCTTCAACGGACATTTGAAAGTCACGCTGAAAAGCCACTTGGACGCATAGCTTACTCGAGTGTTGGTCAGTGAGCTAAAAAGAACTCAAACATGAAACACCGAGCGTGTCCATCTGGCATTGGGATACTTCCCCTGCGGACCAAAGGTAAATGTGTTGTAGTGCAACTAATTGCTGTCCTAAACTTTTGACCTCGTGTGAGTGCGATGACAATCAATGCACTGTTCAGCAAAATACAAACTCCACGTTCCTACTAAAGCGTCCGAGAATCAGTCCCTGAACGGCGCTACTTTTCTTTAGTGACCTGTTCGATGTCCCCTACCTTATACATGCCCATCGGAACTTCAGGCTGACAACACGAAACCTGCTACAACAACAGTGGCTGTGAGTAGGTCACGTAGTGGACGAATACTGACGGTGCAAGCGGTTTTATTACTTGTCTACCAGGTCGTACTCCATCAGCTTCGACGTGTTCACGGAATATGGAAAGAAGGTCAAGAAATTCAGAAAATCAATTTCTGGAGTCTCCGATTGGATACGAGTACCACCGAGGGGGGGATTGGTAGCAACCGAAACGAACGAGGGTAGATCGCTTAGAAAATGGTAGAGACATTAGGGAATGTATACTCATTTTTGGACAGACTCAGCTATCGACGAAGTTTCAGCAACCTTATGAGTAGTACATTTCAAATATATACATGCATCGTAGCGACTGAAACATGAGGCGGCCTGGTGCAGCACATTCAGTTGCCTGGAAACATCACAAACAAAAGATTCAGCCGGGTCCCAGGTGAGTCTCTCGCAAAACCAAACCTGACTGCAAATGAGTGTATATCTCTAGTTTCGTGGAATTTAGTTTCAAGTAGAAAATAAGGTTGACGGAAACCCGGTGACTACGCCTCCCTGATGAGCCCCAAAAAAGACCGAAATCGCTCGTGGGCTGTTGACGAGTTTTCAGCAACCTTATGAGTAGTACATTACAAATATATACATGGTAGAGACATGTTGAAATTCGCCCCTCTTCACATTGGGAACCCATATAACTTCCGGAGGGTTTATCATATGTGATTTTCCCCTGCAGGCGCCCATTCATACCACTTGACCCTCTTTGCTGCTTCCACGTTAATTTTTTTCTTTCTTTGGTAGTTTGAGGAAGTCTGGTAGTTTTCTATTGATATTTCATCCAGCAATTGAAGCCAATCTATGTTCGAAAAAGAAACGAAAAGCACCGTACGACTGTTTCACTCCTACTGGGAATCATCAGCAATGTGTCTCACGAAAGTGTACGAATTCTTCAATCCGGTTAGTAGTTTAAACACGAACGGCTGATCACTTAGACCGGATGTAACACCACTCATCCTACAATCACGTCACGTGGTCTTGTGTTGATTGGCTTTGCGAGTGACATCTTCACAGCC